TCCCGGTTGCCAGTCCCTGAAGCTCCATCACCATGGCAACCTTATAAGGCACTAGACATGGTCACGGACCCCCCTCTCAAAGCCTGTAACAAACTGTCGCTAGACACCAGACCTACTACTACCTGCAGGACCCACTGCTCAATCAATGTCGACCTTCCCCATTACTTCCTGCCGCCACCCGTCTGCCCAACTCGGTTACGGCTGGACCACGGCGGGAAAAAGGACGTCTGAACTGACAACCTGCAGGCCCTCCATACGCAGCATCTGCGCCGCTACCACCGTTCCCAAACCGTCGCTCAGCCCGCCCCGCGAGCCCCGAGAGCCAACAGTCGCGCCACCCAATAGGGACGCGCCCGAATCGGTTTCGCACTCTCTCCGAACCTAACGTCCCACACCCGCGCGCCGCAGCCTCCCAACGTCCCCTTCCCACACGCGCCTCGCGGGGACGTACTTGTTGTGGGGTGTCACGTTTTGCAGCATCTTGACCGCGGGGACCCGGCGCTGCCCTCAGCCGCGGAAAGTCCGGGTGGCCTCGGTTCCCCTTACCGCCCGGGCCAGCATAACCCGGGAAGTGAGGGGGCCGTTGCCCTTGGTCCTCCAGGCGACAACCCCCCACGCCGGGCCGGCACGGAAGCGGTCTCCTCCGCTACCTCTCGGAGAACTCCCGGCAGCTTGGCGCGCTCCGCGGGAGACGAACTGCGAGAAAATGGCGGCGGCCTCAGCTGAGGCGGGCGAGCGAAGGGGGACGGACTCTTCAAACCCTAGGACGGCCCCCGATCCCAGACACCGTCGTCAATATTGCCCGCTGTTGGTCTGCAAGGATCCCCTCTTCCTGCCAGGACCGTCCGGGGCGGACGAGGTCCCGTTTCGATCTTGGATGGAGGCGGATGAACACGAAAAGTGGTTTATGGAGCCGCCGCCTCCATCTTTGAAATCCTCTTGAGGGCGGAGTAGAGGGGGTGGATAGACTCCGAGGATTGGGCGGGGCCCGAAAAAGGGGAGCTTCGGGGGCTTCTATGGGGTCTGTACTGTCCGCCGGGACCGGTCATAGGCCGAGACGAAGGCCATTTCCAAGCGGATGGACGTGGATTGTAATGGCGGCCCCCGACGACTCGAAGGCTCTGTATCGGTAGGCAGAATCCTCCAGCTCGTTCTAGAGGCTGCTCCACTCCAGCGCGAAATGGCGCCGCCGAGCCCCGCGCCAGCCCTTTATATATAGGCAGGAGGGCGGAGCCTCGCCGCTCATGCGCGCCACCGTGCTCGAGATTTCCTCCACCCCCTTCGCGCGCGCACGCTCGCTCACGCGCGTGAAGAAGCAGAGTCGAAGGGGGAGGAACACCTCTCCGCGGGAGCGTTTCCTATTGGCCGGCTGAAGCGATGACGTCATAGGCTTCATTTCCAAGGTGTCAGTCACTAGGCAGAAGAGTGCCGCATAGACCCATAGGGAAGCGGCAACCCGCCACATCTCTGAGCCAATTGGCTGCGCTGTGGTTCGGCGACTCCAGGGAAACAGGGAGGTTGGCATGGATGCAGCACCCTCTCCCCGCCTCCCCTTCCAACAAAATCTTCCCAGGCGTCCAAACCCGGTGCGACTGGCGACTGCCAAGCTCGGGCAGGTCGTGCCATTCGTAGCTCCTCCATTGGGCAGAACGGCAGGAAGACTGGAGCGGCCGCGTGGGCGTAGCCAGCCTCGGCCCGCCAGGGTGTGGCTGCAGGATGCCCGGCGAGTTGGTGTTCTCGGCAGTGAGGCCGCTGCAGCCGAGAATCTGAAATGAGGAAGAAGACGCCATCTTAGAAGCCGCGGCCTGCTACTCTGGCAAACAGCTAAAGGCTCCCGAACGTAGCAAAGAAGGAACCTAACGTTCCTATGCTCCACAATATAAAAATACAGGCTTCCCAGAGTCTTAAAATCCTCCCCGTCCTTCCCCAGGTCAAACAATCGAAAGACAAAGGCAAAACACTTCTCAGAATCTATTATCTGTTAACTCCCAAAGGCTTCCTATCAACAAGATAACCAAACTAAAACACATTCCAAACACCTGCACCCCAAGCACCTCTCCAATCCCTCCCACTCATACGTCCAGTTAGCAATATAAACATCTGCCTGCTTGACAAAAGCTCCGCAGCTCAAAATTTCCAAACGCACCCACGTACCCTATACGATGAAACCCACCTCCTCCCCAAACTTCATTCCGGTGTCTGGCTCGGAGCGGAAAAAACAAGTCGCGCCAGGGGCGAAGCAGGGTGAACACCCTCCCCGCTCCTGGCGAGCTCAGACCTATCCCCACCGCCCTCCCCCACCCCGAGGGCAGGCCCGCACCCCGCCTTAGGGTCCCTCCGCCGCGGGGGCGGAAGGCTGCCCCCATCCCCCCACCAGGGTCCGGAGTCCTCCCCACGGAGCGGCTGGTCCATCGGTCAGCGCCAGGGAGGAGGGCGAGCGGAGGAGGCGGCGGCTGCGGCTCAGACTAGCCCTCCCCCTCCTACTCTCCCCTCCTCCCCTCCCCCCGGGCCGTCCGCCTCCGAGGAGGGGCAGGAGCCATTTTGGGAGCTCAGTTTTGCCCCCTCCCCCAACCTAGTCAACTAAGTCTTCCCCACAATCTAGTTATCTGGACTAGAGAAACAAACTACGTATGAAGAAAGAGCCAGAGCACAACAAGATCAGGATCTCTAAAGCCATCTCTGGGGCTCCCCCGCCCCCGTCCCCTTCTGGGAGAGTGAAAGAATTTCCCCTACCTGGGCTTTAGGCGGGGGGGGGGGTCTCCCCCCCTCCATCTCCCCTTTTCTGGCTACCAAGGAAGAAGTAGTTATGCGTATCTGAAAAAGGAAATTAATGTAACTCAACGAATATGAGGCCCCCTGCCAGGGGCTCGTGAGGGCCTAGATCCTTGAGCTCCAACCATGTCACCCTCCCTCCCTCGCGGTAGCCTTTGAGCCCTAACCTCGGTTACTGCGTCTAAAATGGCCGTCAATCTCCCGTCTTCTCAATCACCCGAGTCGGGCAAACCCTGCGGGGGAAACTGCGCACCGGGAAAGCAGAGTCTCTCCCCCACCAAGCCCCCACTAGGGATCAGGCCTCGGCCCCAAAAGTACATGCGGGCCCGCCCGAGTGGCTGCTGCAGGGAGCGCAATGACACAGCAACTTTGCCTTCTCCCCTCCCCCCCATCGCCCTCCCCCCTAGCGGCCCAGCCTCCCCAATCTGCTTTTCTCCACCCCAGGCCTTGCAAGTTTGTACATAAGCCCATCGCGGGGGGAGGTCGGCCAGGGAAGAAACATCAGGCCGCCGAGAGAATACTGGGCCTTAGAAAGCGAAAGGGCAGCCAAACATTATTCTGGCTTATTTCCCTGCGTTCCGGAAAATCACTGCTCCCCGCTCTCTCCCAATCTTCCCTTCCCCCACATGAGTCACCGGGGAGGCCACTGCTACTCAGGAATTTGGAAAAGTAACTCTTCCCCCCTTTCCGTTGCCTCCCCCGCAGTACACAAGGAGACGACTGTTCAGGAATGGGGGAGGGGATGAAAGAGGCGAAAAACGCCACCCTGGAGAAACCCGAAACCTTGGGAGCTGTGAAATCACTCCAGGTCCGAAGCCTCACTCCCTCCTGTCTCAGACCACGATTTCTACTCCCTCCCAAAACCCTCCTCGGGCCTGGTTTCTGCTCCCAAGCGTTCAGCCTGTGAGCCCTCCCTAGCCTGGGGTGGACACACGCTCAGCTAAGACCCCACCGGGGCAAAGAAGGTTTGTGCAGAAGGCTCCATAGGCCGTGTCCACGTGAATGCACAGAAATTCAATAAGCGACTCGAAGCGTAACCTCCACCACGCCATGTGATGACTGCCAGCTTCCTACCGCGGACACAAAGGAAGTACAGCAATGCTCCGTCCAATCTCTGGAGAGAAAGGGAGTGGGCGCCGGGAACAACCTCTGTTCATAGCCCAGGTTGCCAACTCTAAGCATTTACAGCCATGAGTAGAAACTCCAGTCCCCACTCTCACTCCTCGGCCCACTAGGTCACCCCTCCCTCCAGCCGCCAGAAGGATCCCTTCTCACCTGGCTCCGGGCTCCTGTACCCCCAGGGAACGAATGGAACGAGGTGGGGGAACACACCGCCCCCACGCCCCTTTGCCCTCCAATTGGTACGGAGGCATGAGGTTGGCCATTCCCCTCCCCCATCACAGGGGCCCTCTCCCGCTCGCCCCCTCCCAAGCTCCCATTGGCTGTAAACTATTTGAAGGACAAATCCTCCCACCCTCAGGATTCTTCTATGAACCCCAAGAATCTCCTTCACGGACTCCCCACCATTGGTTAAGCACTTAAATGGATGACAACACCCCCGGCCCCCAAGGGCCCCTTCTCACCTGGATCCTGGAATCTTCCAGGGGGGCTCCAATCTTCCCCTCGGCTTGGTGCGGGGGGAGGATGTAATCCGGGGTGTCACCCCCCCGGAAGCCGAAGCTGTGTTGGGGGAGGGGGCGTAGCCCCCAGCCCCTCCCTTCCTGACCGATCGGGGGGTGGGGAGAACATCGGGGCCGCGCGGCCACGTCAGCAACACTCAGATTGGCTGACCCAGGTCACGTGCCAGCCGCTCCCCTTTACCCTCCCCCCCCCCGCCACGGGGGCCCTTTTTCCAAAGGTTTCCGGGGGTCGCTCATGGGCCAAGGGGGCCGCGTGGCCGAGGCCTATCTCCAGAGACCCAGCGCGCTCTAATGCCGCTGCTTCTTCACATGCCCGGCTTCCTATCCCGTTGTCGTCGACCCTGTCCCCCCCACTCGCCTCTCCGTACGGGTTCAGCATGGCTGCCGCAGCCCGGGAACGTGCACAGCGCAGGCGCAAGGGTGCGACCGGATTGGGGGAGGGGGAAGGAGCGCCGGAGGCCGCGAGCACAGCAGCAGTGCGCAGGCGTCTGGGCCTGTCCCGTGGCTCCGGTGGCGAGCCTGGGAGCGCGCGCTGTGGGTGGGGCGGAAGCGGGCGCGGCGCGCTGACCTCCCGCCTCAGCGGCCCTTCCTCCGCTGCCCAGGGCCTGGCGGGGCGGCGGGGGAGGCCTGCCTCGGGTCGTTGTCCGCAGGTATAAGATGCAGCTTGGGACGTCCTGGCGGGAGTCCAGCGGAAACGCGCGCCACCGAGCTGTTGTCAGCTAAGGAGAATGGGGCCTGGACCTGGAGATGTGAGGGTTTGCGGGGGGGCCCTCCCCCGGTGTAGTGTGGTTCGACGACGGAGAGGGAGTTTATCACCCTCGCGGTGCCTGCCTCCGGGAGATGAGGTGCGGACGGTAGATGTGGGCGTTAGATGTGGGCGTTTTGTTCGTCTTCTTTGTCTTAGGCGGCTTTTCAACCTGTCATTTTCCGTGACCCTACCAAGACTTCATTGAGACCTGGCAGTCCTTGGACTCCTCTGCCTTCTACAAAACTTACCAGCCTTCTGATCACTTTTATTTCTTTACCGATCTCGTGCTCGACCATTTAAGTTAAAACTCTTCTGCTTTTCTCTAAGGGTTTGCCCTCTACTCTCAGTCTTGAATCAGTCCCATAAAAGTCTAATCTAGGGATGTGTATGGTGATTCAGTTGCCACCTAAAGCAGATCTTTTACTTGTTCATAGCCCGTAATCTCTCCCCTGACCCTCAGAGTGTGGTTCAAATTTTCACCCCAGTCGATAAACCGCACTTCCCACCAACAGAACAGAAAGGCCAACTTGCGGGAGAACTCTTGGCTTTCCATCTCCCTCCTGTAAACTGGGCTATGTGTGTATCCTTTATCATTGTACGAGAAGTCCTCCCTTCACTTTAAGGAAATTTCCTTTTCTGTTGACCTGGTCAACCTTATCTATTACTCTGAAGCTATCCTCCATTTTCTATCAATTGACATTTTAAAATTCTCTCTCCTATGCGTTTCCCAGCCCTCAAAAAAAAGGAAAGACAGAAAATAACCTTGTCGGTATTGTATCCCCTTGTAGACTCTCCTCTACCTCTCAGCTCCCTTGCGTAGTCAAGACCTGAAATTGTCATCTAAATTTTCCTCTCTCTGCCCCATCCCACTTTTCAGCCCATTTCTTCCACTACTGAAACTGTTTGGCAAATGTCACCAAGAACCTCCTAATTGGCAAAGTCAGGAAGCACTTTTCAGTTCTCACCTTATTTGACCTCTGGAGCATTTGACATTTGATCATGCTTCCTTCTTGAAATTCCCTACACCCTTGGTTTCTGTGACCAGCTCACTTGTTTCTTTTCCTACTTGTCCAACTGTTCCTCTCCAGTCTCCTTTGTTGGCTCTTCTTCAACCCCTTCTTACATGTTGATGTTTACCAGGATTTTGCTTCTAGTTCTGTTCATCGTCTCTAGGCAATCTCACTCCATGGCTCAAAGCCTCTCAAATCTGTATCTTTAGTTCAGACAACTCTCCTGAGCTAAACTTGCTACTAAATATTACCACTTGGGTAGTCCTCAGACACTTCAACATGTTCAAAATTGATGCAGTTTATATGCACGCTAGACCTTTCTCTATATTATCCTGGCTAATGGCAACTATTAAATCACGAAGTCTGCAATTTGGGAGCCCATTCTTGATTTCTTTTTCTCACGACTTTATATCCACTAGACTTATTATTTTGGCCCTAAAATGGCCATGAAGTCACACTCGGTTCTAGTCCTATCACCTGAGCTATAGCAACAGCCTCCTAACTGATTTCCCTCTCTCTAAAGCTGTGCTGTCCCGTACAGTAGCCACTAGCCATATGTGGCTATTTCAATTCATATTAAATACAGTTTTAAATTTAGTTTCTCAGATGCACAAGCCACATTTCAAGTTCTCATTATGCACGTGTGGCTAGTGGCTGTGATATTAGACATCACAAACTCATTTCAGAAAATTCTGTTGAAAAGTGCTGCTCCACTTGCCCTCTCTGCCTCTGCCACAGTACTCCCAGGAGTGAGCATCCTAAAATACAACTCTGGGCGTATGCTGCTGTTTAAACCCCTTTATAAATTCCTCATTGCCTGTGTGATAAAGTCCAAATTCCTGTGCTTGACAGAAAGGTTGGCTTACCTTTCCAGCCTCATGTCTAGCCACTTCTTGGGAGCTATACTCCAGCCATATTGAACTGTTCCCCAGGCACACCATTTTGTTTTGTGCCCCTGTATTTCACGTATACAGTCATGTGTCACTTAATGACAGCGATACATTCTACGAAATGTGGTGTTAGGTAATTTCTTCCTTGTGTGAACGTCATGAAGTGTACTTACACAAACCAAGGTGGTGTAGCCTACTACACATCTAGGCTTTATGGTACTGATCTTATGGGACCACTATTATATATGTAGTTCATCCTTGACTGTAGTGTTGTTAATATGGCACATGACTCTACGACTTTCTCTACACAGAATAGGTTTTCCTGCAATCCATCTAAGCCCAAATACCGCCATCTGAAAAGCCTTCTCTTGCCTCCCAAATTGAGCTAACTGCTCATTCCTTGATGTCCCTTCCTCTTACGATTGCACCTTTCACAGTGAATAGCATTTATGTGATTACGTGTTTGTCTCCTTTACTGGACTTCGATCTTGGGAACAGAACCGTGTTGTATTCTTTTTATTTTTTAAAAAAATATCCCCAGCTCCTGGCACAGTACCTGGCCACTATGGGGTGCCCACAAAGTGAACAAGTGTTGAAGGAAATTGATGCTTAAGTAAATATGTGACTAGGTAAGATTGTAATGTATATGTATTATGGGTCGTCATGCATAGTATTGGGGAAATAATCATAGTAAGACAAAATTATTGCCATCAATTATATATTTCAGATATTGGAATGGTGTGAGGAAAGACAGAAGCAGAAGAGCACAGGTCATTTTCACAGGGAGCGGTGCAGTCCAGTCTGCCCAGAATAGACTACAAGTAGAGCAGGAGGAGAAAAGGCTGGAAGGTAAATTTATTTGAGGCAATATTATGGGGAATTTTCAATGCTGTTAAGTTTGGACCCAGTGGGGAGCCACTGAAAGTTTTTGAGCAATGACTTGATTGGAATTATGTCATTAGATAGGAACTCGATCTTCATACTCCCAGTGGCTAGCACTATACCTGTTAATAAGTGCCAGATACAAACGTTGGGCTGGAAGGAGATGAGACTGGTGATAGCTAACATTTATTGAGTTCTTGAAATGTGTCAGGCCCTGTTATAAGTGTTTAACATGTATTAACTTTTCTAGTCCTTATAACCCTGAGAAGTAGATACTATTGTTATCACCCCCATTTTTCAAATGAAGCAGCTGAAACAAGAGATGTTAAATAATTTACCCATGTCATACTTTTCGCAAGTGGTCAGAGCTGGGATTTGAACCCAGGCAGTCGGCCTCTGGATGGTATGTTATTCTGGTTGGTTTGCAACCACAATAAAAGATTGGAGAGGTAAATTTGGGAGTCATCTTTGAGGTGATGTTTGAATCAGTCATGTAGGGAGGTGAGATTTATAAAGGAGGAAGTATAAAACAGTTTACTCGTGGGTTAGGGATTGAGCTTGGGTTAGATGCTCACGCAGGGAGTAGTAACAGGAAGCAGAACCAATGGAAGAGCATCAAACAAGAAGGAAAAGCAGAACAACATAATATGAGGAAGCCAGAACAAGAGAAGGCTCCGGTGAGGACTTCATGTTTGTTGAATAAATGACTAATCAAGAGTTTTTAAGCTTTTTTGTGCCGTGGACTTCTTTGGCAGTTTACTGGAGCCTTTGGACCTTGACTGACAATAATATTTGTAAATGCGTAAATAAAATATATAATTATCGAAATATTTAAAGAAATGTGTGATGATCTAGTAATCTGTGTTCCCTTATTAATACAATATGTGTTTCTTAACTAATACATTAAATAAAGTAATTTATTGGCAGGTCTAACAACTCTTATAATTGTAAAGGAGAGATATTTTGAGATGTCTCTGTACGTGATATGAAAATATTAATTGATGATGCTTTCTATTGATGACATTACAGGTACTGCTAGTACTACAAAGACTTATTTTCTACATTTATAAAATTAAATTTCAGATAGTTAGATGTTATTGAAAATAAAAGTGACTCTTTTTTGTTCCATCCAAGTTCATGGACCCCTGAATTGTATGGCTTGTGGACTGCAGTTTAAAAATCCTTGTTCTGACTGAATGAGGAATTGAGATCCTACAGATAGGTGTGAGAGAGTGAAGAAGGGGGAAAAACTCATTGGGTTGGTAATTGGGGTCATTACTGATATTGGAGAGCAGTTTCTGTAGTCTGGGAATAGAATTCAGAGTAGGAGGGACCTGAAAATTTGCTTTTGCAGGTTTGTATGTTTACTTGTTTAATGTCTCCCTATTTTCATTAGATTATGTGTTTGATGATGGTAGGTGTCTGGTGCCCAGCATGTGGCCAGGCACATAGAGGGTGGTCAATAAATATTTGCTAAATAAATAGTGAATGAACCTCTTTGAACCACAGTTTTCTTGTTACCTAATGGGAATAATAAATTCTGAGCTTGTAGAGTAGTTGAGAGGATTGCTATATCCTGATAACATAGCTAAAAGGGCCGATGAATATGGATATGAAGGGATATACTGAGCTGGGAATGAGGGTAAATGTGGGAGCTGGATGGCTAGGTTTGCTCACTGAAGTAGGATGTGGCAGAGAGTAGGAAGAAAGTGACAGGTGGGATCTTGAGTAGGGCCCAGAATGGAATGTGAAGAGTGGTGGGGTGCACAGGGGAGGCAGTAGGGGTGAAGGTGTTTGTAGGGTAGACCATAGCCATGCCTGGTAAGATTTACTGTTGAAATATCTGTTAGAAAGGACAGTCGATCATTCATCAAATGCTTGGAGGCTCTTCCAGGCTCAGCTTCAACATCCTTAGTAACTAACAGCCCATTTATGCATCCCATGAGCAGTCATTTGGTAGGCCTTCTTGGTAGATGCTGAGAATGTAAAAGAATGGGACATGATCCCCTAAGGACCTTGCAGTGGGGTGAGGTGACTGTGAAGCAGATATATAAATCACAGAATAATACAGTAAAAATGATGGTAGTGGCAGGCACAGGGTGCTGTGGAACATACCGAAGAGGCTGTTAACCTCCACTCTGGGTTCCAAGGCTTCCTGAAGGAGGTGAGATTTCATCTCAAAAGACACATGGTGGTAGGGTAAGTGATTCCAGATCATTAAGGATCATGCCAAGGAGAGCAGATTACAGATAACTGTTTGAAGCTTTTCATATAAAAGTATGATGTGGGGCTGGCCTCGTGGCATAGTGGTTAAGTTTGGGCGCTCCACTTGAGCAGCCCAGGGTTTGCAGGTTCAGTTCCTGAGCACGGACCTACACACTGCTCATCAAGCCATGCTGTGGTGGCATCCCACATGCAAAATAGAGGAAGATTGGCACAGATGTTAGCTCAGCGACAATCTTCCTCAAGCAAAAAGAGGAAGACCGGCAACAGGTGTTAGCTCAGGGCTGATCTTCCTCACCAAAAGAAAAATTATGATGTGATCAAATATTTGTTATAAAAAGATCCTTTGGCAGCACTGGAAAATAAGATTGGAGACAGACTAATGATAAGAAAATTGCTGTAATCCAGGAAAAAACAAGCAAACCAGTGAAAGCCTGGACCAGTGGGAATGGGAAGAAAAGTGAGGACAGATCCGGGAGATATTAAAGAGGTAGAATTGATAGGACTTGGTCAACATGAGATGAGAAGATTTGAGGACCATCAAGTTGTGAAGATTGACTCCCACATTTGTTGCTCAGGGAATGGGGTGGGCAGTCAGGTTATTTATTGAGGTCTTGAATGCAGGAGTTGGAAGATGTTGGGACGGGAAGGTGATGAGTTTAGTTTTGTAAATCTTGAGATGGAGGAGCGTTCAGGGTAGTAATTCCTAAACTTCATCTGCCTGTTAGAATTCCTTATTGAACCGTCAATGGGTTTATGGGATATAATGCAAAATAGAAAACTCACCATTTGTTAAAAAATGGAAGTACAGTTTGAAAACTGTAAGACACTGCTTTTCATTTAAATCTTCTTTTCTCTTAGACATTTTTGAGATAATTGAGGGGAAATGAACACAGATTGGGCTAAATGAAGTTGAGCAATTGTTTACATTTTTGTGGTTGTGGTGATAATGTTGTACTTATGTTAAAAGTTATCTATTATAGATACCCTTAGATTTCCTGATGAAATACTGTGACAGAATTTGTTTAAAACACTCCAGCAAAAAAAAAAAAAATAAATAAGTTTGGAACAGGAGAATAGATGAAACAAGAACGGGAGACCTTTAGAATGTTGAAAATTGTTGAAACTCATGAGACTACATGGGGATTTATTACATTCTTTTGTGTATGTTTGAAAATTTACATAGTAAAATGTTTTGGTTTTTAAAAAACTTTTTAAGTCACAGGTCCAAAGGAAATCAGTTAGTGGAATATAAGTATTTTTATTAATAAATCAACATTAAATCGTATCATGAAGTATATTTTGAATTTATAGCAAGACTTGTGGCAGACCAGAGATCTTCAGGTGGATGACATACATCACCATGGCAGATAGTTGGGTGATGCTTCTGAGCATTAATGCACAGATTTAACCTCATGCTTATGCTTCGCATGCTCTCATGCACTTGTCTGGGATGCCGTATGTTGAAGATAACTGTATTGAAGTGATTGTTAGGGTCATGATGATTGTCCCTTCTCTGGGAATAGAGGTGACATTGTGCTTGGTCTCAGCTAATTGATCCAGAGGTACACACCTAGTACAAGCTGAGCCAGTCAGATGGTCTCTCCCAGCAATGTGAAACTTGAAAGATAGAGGCTGGAGGGCTTTGAAGGTGAAGCATATTAATGACAACTCAACCCCTGCTGCCAAAGGCCGTGTGGCTCCCCTTCCGGAATCTGGCTTAGTCCACTCTTCTTTTGATTTCATGCACTAGCTCAGTATCTTTCCAATAAATCACCATTTTAAAAGTTAAGTCAGCCAAAATTGGTTTCTATTGCTTACACACAAAATAGCCTTATTAAATATAATAAATTGTTGCATAATAAAAATTATTATGTAAATGCATTTGGTGTTTTATTATATCTGTGTTGAAAATAAATTAAAAAATTAAAAATTGCTGCTATCAAGTTTGCATTTTTAAAAATTTCTTGAGGGATGCTTTTGTGTAGAATACAGTTTGAGAAATGCTGTTGCACGACATCCAAGTGGAGATGCCTAAAGGCATTTGGGTATATGGATGGTGTGAACTCAGAGCAAGATCTGAGCTGAAGGGGCAAATTTGGAAGATGTCAGCAAATAGGTGGTAACTGAAGGCATGTGGGAGTAAATGCCATCCACGGCAAGTGTATAGTGTAAGAAGAGACAAGGTTAAGGGTAAAACTCCAGGGAACACCGACACTTAAAGGGTAGCTGAAAGAAAGGAGACCACAAAGGAAACAGGATGCCAGAAAAGTGGGAGGGAAAACTAGGAGAGAGTGCCATCAAGGATGCCAAAAAGAATAGATGGTTTCAGGAAGGAGGGCATGGCCAACAGTGTCAAATGTTGCAGAGACTGCGAAGAGTCCATTTGAGTTAGCAACACAAAAGTGTGGGTGAACACTTTAAGGATTAAATGATAAGTATGAAAATGTAGAGATGGTTGCCACAATTTTTTCAGGAAATTTGATTCTTCCAGGAAAAACAATGGGGCAGTATTTAGAAAGGGGCTGGAGAGCTGAGTGTTAGAAAGCCCTGGCTTACTGTATTTACAGGTGTTATGCCATTGTTTTCATAGACATTCATATCTAATGACCAAAATAGACAGTGAGTTACTGGGATGCAGAACAGGCTGCATTGCTCCTCTCTTGCCCACGTTTATCACTTCCCCAAGCTGATTAGAGACTATTATTGAGAAATCTATTATGGAGGTTGTTAGAGGGTCCTGA